GAAAAGAAGAGCAGCAAGAAGAGTTACCTGAGCGGGGGAGGCGGCGGCGGGGCCGAGGGCGGTGGAGGCAGGAAGTGGGAGCAGAAGCAGGTGCAGATCAAGACCCTGGAGGGGGAGTTCTCGGTCACCATGTGGGCCTCGGGTAAGTGCGCGTCGGGCCCCTCCCTCCCCGGGCACTAGGCCCCGCCGGTGTCCCACCAGCTCTGCCCGGCCGGTTTTGTTTTGAAGGGAGGCCATGTTTTGATGTGTGTGATGGGCGCCGCCATGTTCATCGCCAGGGCAAGTATGGCGGCTCCCCCGAAAAGATGGCGGGGTCTGCGCTGCTGCTGCTCCTGCTCCTGCCCGGCTCCGGCGGGGGGAAGGAAAGATGGCGGCGGCTGCCAAGATGGCGACGGGGGGGAGGGGAGCGGGAGGGGAGGCAGCGCGCTGCTGGCTCCTGGAGTAGGCCGCAATGGCGTAGTTTCTGCAGCAGGGGGAGGCGGGGTGTGCGGGCGGGCACGGTGCGGGGCGAACCCAGCCTCCTCTCCTCGCCCCTCTATTGGCTCCATCTCCGCCCCCTTCGCTTCTCTTTCTCCCCCGTTCCCTCTCCCCTGCCGTCGGCTCTCTCCCTTCCTTGCTCCCGCTCTTCAGCGCTCGGGTCTCCGCCTCTTCTCCCCCCTGCCCGTGCTGCCGCCCTCGCAGTAGCCTCCACCAGCTCCCCTTTCCGCCCAGTCTCGCTCTGCCGGGCGGTTCCCTCCCCTCCCTTCTGTCCGCCGCGCACCCGGGGCCCTATTGGGCTGCATTTTAATGCTGAACATGGGCCGCAGCCCCGGATGACGCGTGTACTTCAGGCCGTGACCGTTATTTCAGGGGGGCGGAGGGGAATAAATGGCTGCCTGAGCGCCGCCTGCTTCGGCTCCCTAGCTGCGAGCTGGTCGTTGGGGGCAGTGGGAGATTGCAGGCGCTGCTTGACGAGGCGTGAGTGCTGTGCTTGGGAAGGCATTTACAACTGTCTTGATTCCAAGCGAGCCCAGTGGGTGAGCCAGCCTCTGCACTGAGTGCTCCAGCCCTTTGCCATAGAGGGGTTGGGAGTGGGTGGCTCCTCTGGCTGTCATGCGGAGTATAGGCTAAGAGAGGGGAAACACCTCTCAAGTGTGGGGTGGTGGTGGTATGTCTATATCTGGTGGATACCAAAGTGTTAGGGCCCTTAGATATACCCAAGATAGGAGCCTGGAACTCTCCACCCCCCCCCCCAGAAGAAGCATTGGTCCCTGGTGGCATCTTGGAGGGTGGGAGGAGGATTTGGCTGTGGATCCTATCCTGGCCTTTGAAATGTTCCAGCTCTGCCTTTTTCCGTTTAGTAATAGTTGTGTCAGAAGCTTTTCAGTTCATCTACATTTTAGGAGCAAATAAAAAAATGCACCTGGCAAAGAAAGTTTTCGAAAAGAAGTGTGATGTCTAGCATGATATAAGATTTTTAATCTTTTATGATAGGAATAATGAAAGGTCTTGTCTGCAAAGTTAGGAATCAATCTGATTTTGTTTCTGGATTGCTAATGCCTTGCAATGCGTTTCATACTGTTTTCTTCCCCTTGTTTTAAAAGTTCTTGGTAGATTTCTGGAAGAGACACACAATATAGTAGGTTGCCTATCAGTGCAGAGTTGTTACGTGCTGGGTGTTTTGGTAAGAATCTATAGTTTGCTGGTATTAATGTGTTTAGTAAATGAGTTATTTGCAGACATTTATGAATATAATTCAGTGTCATAACTTTTACAATGCATATTGTTGAGAGAACTGTTTTAATGTGGCTGTTGCATGAGTATTGAGGAATTCAGTCTTCCCTTGCAAACTATTCCTAATGTTAAAAACTTAAACAATGAATGGTCCTGCAGCACCTTAGAGACTGACAAACAATGTAGACCATATTATGAGCTTTTGTGGACACAATCCACTTCATCTGAAGAAGTGGATTGTGTCCATGAAAGCTCATGATACGATTTACATTTTTGTTTGGTCCTGCAGCACCCTTAGAAACTTTCATTGTTTAAGTTTTTTTCAGTTACAGACGAACTGGCTACCCTTCTGAGATTCTTTCTAACTTGAGTACCATATAACTTAAAATTTATACTCTGAATTTTAACTTCTAGTGGCCAAGTAGGTTGGAGAGAGAAAAATACAGTTTATACTAAAGCATCACCCACTGTACACTCGCGTCTGGCTATAGCTTATGCTTAGTTGTGGTTTGTAGAAGCTACTGTTAAAATAGCTGAAAATAAACGACAGAGGAACAACTGAGTAAAGGGCTATTGGAGACTGTCAAAATCTGTTTGTGACACTGTGCATATGAATTCTGCACTTCAAAGTGCCCAGTTGAGTGCTTGCTTAAAGTTTATGCATACAAATTAGTTGGTTTAAATGAAGCATAATATCATTAATGAGCCTGATTCTCTCATACATACCCATTTTACATTATGGTAACTTCATTGATTTCGGTGTTTTTTTTCTTATTACTAATGAGAGGAGAATTTGTGGTGGTTTTTTGTTTGTTTGTTTTTAAACTGCAGCTCATTTGAAGTGAGTTTTACCCATGAAAGCTTGTGATAATATATATTTGTTAGTCTTTTAAAGTGCCTCAGGACTACTCACTTTAGGTTATGAGTAACATGGCTTGACCCTCTGAGACTTCCCTCTGTCACAGTTTATCAGAGATTTTGAATCACACTGGCACAACAAACTAGATTACAGGGTAAATGTGGTGCAAAGATGCAGATGCTTATTTTTAATTCTTATACTAATAGTCTTCTCTTGGCAATCAAGGCAACTTTGTTAGGGCAGATCTACATTGGGACCTTACTGACACAGCTGCATCTCTTGAATGTGGTATTTGTATTGGGTATGAAAAAAATCTAGACCCCCCCCCCCAACCAGTTAAACTGTTTAACTGCTAAAATGGGGGGCAGCTTGGTCGGGCCACTATACTAGGAATCTTAAATAGCTATTAATTGTATAGTCATGTAACCACACAAAATATTATTAGTTACATGACTATTTGATAGTCCCTGGAGGTGGGGCTGGCACCTAATCTGGTCTGATACAGAGGCAGTAGCATGGGGTGGCAGGTGTGAGTTGGTCTGTGAGGGTAGCCAATTTAAAATCAGCTCCCTCATAAACCTAATACAGAGACAGCAGTATGGGGCAGCAGCAAAGTATGAGTTCCCCACAGACAGAGGCTGTGCTGGCATCCCACAGAGCAGCTTCTGTCTGCAGCAAGCCATGATTACACATTGACATCCCTCGTGAAAGATTAGCTGGTAAGCATTATTTTTAGCGGGTGATGCTTACTGGTTTCAGTTAACTCTTAACTGGTAGGGACTGAAGCAGGGGGCTGCTGTAGCCCAGAGGGGGGCCCGCCATAGACAGGCTTCTCTGGTTGTCTGTGATGTGCCAGGGCCCGCTGTGAACAGGGCGGGGCTGGAGTAGCCTCTGTCTGTGGCAGGTGTGTGCTCCTGTCCAGCCTTTCGGGAGGGGGAAGTGCCCCTTTAATCAGTTAAACATCACATCTAACCAGTTAAGTAGGACTTTGAATTCCTACTTTACTCTTATGGGAATGCCTATTTATCAATGAAGATATTCTAGCACCTCTGTGTAGACATTAGATACTTCTGTACAGTGTAGCTGGCTTCATAGACATGTGTAGTTAATGTTATGAGGGTCACCAAGACTATTCAGTAGGTTCATCCTATAAAATGTAAAAGCAGAGTCTGGAGTGGTGTGTGGGTGTGTGTGTGTGTATATATATGGTGACCATATCTTCTGAACCAAAAATAGACACACAGGAGCCATGCCCCAGCCTAATTAGCCACACCCCCATCTCTAGGCCCCTCCCACCTGTCACATAAAGTCCCACCCTTGGAGGTAGTACTTCAAGGGTTAAGATAGGCACGTGACCAGAAGTAAAAGGTGTTGTGTGACTCCTCTAAGAACTCCCATTGTCCTCTGCCGATAGAGATGGGTTTGGTTCCCACAGGACCTCCCCATGCAACTATACTGTAATTGCATTAATCCAACTTTAATTGCATTAACTTGGAGGAGAGGCCTGGGCTGCCTCTATTCAGTGATTATCGACTTTTTGGAACGTGAACCACCTGGCTCAGTGTAAACCTTGCCATGGACCACCAGTTGCTAATGGAAACGCACCATTAATTACATAATTATGCTTGAGCTATTTTGCTAGTGCTGCGGATAGGGTGAATGGTTTAATTTAAATTATTAAGCAGACTAAGTGTTAACTTTCTTGTGTGTGGTTATCAAACTTCATTTTAAATACAGTAAAATATTAATTTGACCAACACAAGGTTTCAATGGTTTCTTTACGGTAGGGGCGGGGAACCTTTTTTGGGTTGGAGGCCACTGACCCACAGAAAAGTCAGCTGGGAACCACACAAATGAGAAGCAAAAACAACTCCTCCAAAAACCCCCAACCCTCACTCATCTCGTCCCCAACTGAGACACCTCGATCCTCTGGTGTTCCAGCCCACAAGGTATGGGGATGGGACAAAGAGGACTGAGGTTCAAGGTAAGGATGTTAAATGTGGTTATCTGGCTAATAAAATAGTAAATGCAATTTGTATCAACTACGTGATTAGTTGATAGGTTCCACTCTGCAGAGCCACAATGGGGGTAGCTGCAGGAGCTGGCTGAAGCTGGGACTCAGCAGTTCTGGCTCTGGGAGCCACCCATGCTGCAGCTCTGCATTTTAAATATAAGAGGAGCCATTGAACTCTTACTACATTTAAAATGCAGAGGTGCAGCGACTGGCGCAAACTGGGCCTGCTCAGTCCCAGCTCGCACTGAGTCCAGCAGCCCCTCTTCACGGCAGACAGACCAGTCCACCATCAACAGGGAATGCTTGGCAGCAGCAGCAGCCTCTGTCTGTGGGAGTCCAACTTCCATTGGGATCCCCACAGAAAGGGGCTGCTGCCAGAGTAGCTTCTGCTATGGTGAGCCTCGGCCTGCCGTGGACAGAGGTTGCTTTGCAGCAGCCTCCTCTTTCTCTCCTCTTCCCTGCACTTCCCCCCCATCCCTCCACGCTTCTGATAGAGCCAGGGGGGAGATGGCACAGCAGAGACTTTATGGGGGGAATCGGCTTTTAAGCCAGTTCC